ATTAAAACTCTATGTTGTCATTCAAAAAAGTAAAAAACTTAAAAAATGATAAGGATAAAAAATATTTAAAAATATAATTTTTTAATAAAAACGTTGAAACTATGTAAAAAAATATTTTGAAAAAAGTAAATACTTTTTTAAATAATGAGTGTTCAATTATAAAAGAATCACCCTCTATAAAATAATTAGCAATCATTACTGTTAAAGGAAAAGGTTAAATTTCTTTGGCCTCTACGAACTTTTGAATCAAACCAATTCTGAAACAATTGATTAATAATTAATTAATATTAATTATATAAATAAAATATAAAACATTTTCATAGTCCCACCACAGAAATATTTTCAACAATAATCTCAGCCGTCGTCTCGTGTGTACATATTTACAAACCATGATAACGATTGTCGGTTATTTGTGTTTCGCTCTGTATCACACGCCCGTATTATAGAACGTCACCTAAGGATGGAGGGTTAGTCGTGTCACGGTATATGCGATCAGTTTCTAGAGAAAAAGTTTCTAAAACATCTTGATTAGATCGAGTATTTAAAAATCACTTACGGAAATAATTATTTAAAATAAAAAAAATTTAAGTACCTTACTATCATTAAACACGTAGACCGTAGTTTTATAATATATGAGTACCCCAGCGTCCGTCTCTTCATCATCTCGAATTTTAGATTCCTACAACGACTTTAGAAGCTAAGAATATAAGTATGTATAGCTCGTGCATTTAATAACGGCACTCAGCAACCGTACGATGAAAAAAAAAAACAATGGTCTGAAAACAATATTTTTTTCCGGTGAAGCCTAAAAGCGCAAAAGGTCAATTTTTGTCAATAAACCAAAAACGCAAAACGAATTTGCGCTCTTGTACCTTAGTAGTGGTATAAAAGCGCAAAAATAAATTGTATTACCTAATGCAATATTGTACCCGTTACACTATAGGTTTCATTTTAAAATTATTTTAGTAGTATTATTTCAGTTTAATTTAGTATTTAGTATTATCGAATTTTATCGTTACAAATTACGATAAAAAATATTTCAAGATTGAATTACTTAAAAACTATGGGCTTCAAATTCCAAATTTAATATTAAGGTACTTATTTATTTATTATTTTTATTGATCTTAAACAAAACATATACCTATTAAATTAAATACAATTTTTAAAATTATTTATATATTTTTATATTTAAATACACATTTTATAATCACGAATAGCATAGTGTATATTAATAACCGAATGATTTTGATTCTATGTTTTTACCTATATGATTTTAATAAAATACACTTTAAAAAAAAAAAAAAATAATTTTCGCTAATGGATTATTAAAAAGGTAATTTTTTAACCTAACCTTATCAGATATTTATTTTTGTGCTTTTGGATGGCGTTTGGTCATATTTCGCGCATATGGGCTACAGCCTTTTTTTCAATATATAACATAGCTTTCAGACCCCTGTTATTTTATTTTAAGTCGTAACGTTTGATGAGTGCCAATCATGGCCTACCCCTGTAACATATTATTTATTAAGTGTATATTATATTTAATTGATTTTAAATTCATTAGGTACCTAATTCTGACGACGGTTCATCCAGCTCGAGTGTAAAAATAATAATTTGAAGGGTAAAACTATTTGCAGAATATTTCTGTTACAACTATTGTAAAGTGTTGAATTTAAGTCTTCTGCAAAGCCGATAACTTACCCACATCCATATGAGAATTTATATTTCCTTCCGAAACGTATGATTGCTACTTGCTAGTAACCAATAAAATKAATCACTGAAATATTTCAGCACACGATTCTCGTTAATTAATCAGAATAKAAATCATTATTATAAGAGGCCACCACAACCGCGATCGTTGCTCCGTATTACAACATAGGAAATTTGAGTTCATTATCAATTCCAATTTTGTAAAGTAAGTTTTAATAATAGAGTGCACAATGGACCAATTGCCAAAGTTTAGGATATAATTTGTGGTTTCTTATGGGCTTATACTTTGTCCAATATTTTAATATAGTTAAAATATTGAAACTTTAAATACTCATAACTCGCTTGAAAATCTAAATATCGAAAAATCAAATGGAAGAACACATATAGGTAATGGGTGAGTTTGGCCACAGTGGTAATTCACTTCAAAATTCTGACACTACAAAATTGAAACTGCTAAAATTATTAAAAACTACTTAAAACTCGATAAAATTGTTTTCCAGATTATTTTCTAGATTCCATCAGTTCAGTAATATAATGTTATATGCTAGGCATATTATGGTATTGTTCACGTCAAACTATTTTCTGGTTAAAAAAAAAAAAATATGTTGCGATTACGCCTCAGAATTAAAAACTCTAGTACTATAATACCTTGATACCTATATTAGCTACATGCAATCTGTCGTCATGGCGTGTTCATAATTGAGCGAATTTCGACGACAAATATTATGGAAGTAACTTTCGTTTCCAAAAAATTCCACCGAATTTCCCCGCACATAATATAATAATATGATTATTAAATTACGACTAGGTACTTACTTAAAATTACTGAATCGTTGTTACTTATTACTAAGTGATGAGAACTCGCGTGCACTACGCTGTAATTCACACAATCGAATATCGGAAAAACAATTTCGAACATACGAATACAGCTATAATAGAAGTATGTGCTTTAATATTATAACAATATGTTTGAAATTATAAGTAGGTAGGTACTAAGACTCGTTATATCATAACTTGGGTCTGAGTTGGATTTGTGTGAACGGTAATTTTCATTTTTGAATGCTGAAAATTGCAATCATTTTTATTTTCAAAGTGAGATAAAAGGACCAAGAATAATATGAGCAATTTAGCTAATTTTTATTGACTAATTTGAATTATTCGCATACCCTATCAATCAAAGGCATAATTTAGGAAGTAGAGGGATGCTAAGGGAAAGCAAAAATCACTCCGGCCTTAGTTTAAGCATTCGCAAGTTCCTATACCATTTATACTTTCATTAGAGATAATAGCTTCCCCGATTCCAAGACAAAAAAAAAATGATTAAAAAGTAATATGATACCTACTATACTTACTTACTGAAGAGTTATAACCTAAGAAAGATGTTTGGCTAGTGAAATTTACAAAACGAAAAATACTTAACACTTTTTCTGATAGGCAGTTATGTTTAATTAGTTAAACAAAATTTGAAAGCAATTAATACAAAAAGTTTTGAACAATTTTCACACATATTTAAACGATTTCTCACTCATCTACTGGCAGTAGATGGGTGAGATGTAAATTGAAACTATAACTTTTTCGAAATTAAAGAAATCATTTTTTTCTCAGATTAAAAATCCACTAGATGTACCTACAAGATGATAAAGTGAATCCACTACAGTCCTATAGGTATTGCCTTTTTTATATTTAATAAAAAATATTTTTTTGTTCTAAACTTGTTTATATATGTGCATAGCATTGAACTTTTGAGGTGTAATATCATTTTTATGGCATATTTTGGATTTGTTTGTGCATTACTCTTCTAGTCTTAATTATCATCAAAATTATTCATTGATAAAATTATAATATTGAACATGACATATAATTTGTGTGCCATGGCAGGTCGCAAGAAGAAAGACAAGGCCATTCAACAGGCCATAATGATAGCCGCCATGATGGCTGCCAGCGTCATAGGCCCTATGGCGATAAAAATCATCATACTGATGGCCGGCAAGGCGCTGTTACTGAGCAAAATAGCCTTGCTTCTTTCCGGTATGATGATGCTCAAGAAACTGTCCCAACCGCAACAGATAAACCGACACGACACCGAGTTTCCGGCTTCCGGCCACTATTATGACCCCAGCATCGACGCCCAACACGTGGCGTACTCGAGTCAAATTCAATAGAGCAATTATTATTATATTAATAATTATACTAGAAGAAATATCAATAATATCGAGGATCATACCCACACCTTATGGCTTTTAGAGACGTGATACAATCAATATCGCTAAGACGTTTTAATAAATATTATTATTGTCTGTGTACGCGACTAATTACACTTTATTATTAATTCTTTTATTTATTTATCTATATAGTTTAACTGTATTATGCCATTAATTTAATAAATATAACAAATAATTTTATTTTACATTATATTAAATACCTATTTGAACGAAGTTTTTAAATATTATAAAACTGGTCATTATTATTATTGTGTTTTAAAATATGAGGTAAATGGTAAATCTATGTACTTATTTATTTATAAAACATATGCCCGTATGCATAGTCGRTGCGTTAAGGTTCACCTAAAACTGCTTAGGTGATACCTAGCTACGGGCCATGTAACCAATACTTAGCAARCCCGTAAATTTGAATTGCATAGTCAAAATTTAAGTAGCCCGTTGTTAGGTATTACTTAGTTAGGTAATCCTTAAAATTGCATTATTCTTCCATGATATTTTATGTTATCAATTTTTCTTATTATAAC